TGAGCAAGATGAGCCCTGAGCTAACATCTGCTGCCAATCCTCCTCTTTTTGCTGAGGAACACTGGTCCTGAGCTAACATCTGTGCCCATCTTCCTCTATTTCATATGTGGGATGCCTACCACAGCATAGCTTGCCAAGCCATGCCATGTCTGCACCCGGGATCCGAACTGGCAAACCCTGGGCCACCGAAGCAGAATGTGCGAACTTAACCCCTGTGCCACTGCACTAGCCCCTCTTTCTTTCTTTTTTTTTGAGGAATATTAGCCCTGAGCTAACATCCACCACCAATTCTCCTCTTTTTGCTGAGGAAGACTGGCCCTGAGCTAACATCTGTGCCCATCTTCCTCGACTTTATATTGGGGTGCCTACCACAGCATGGCTTGCCAAGTGGTGCGTAGGTCCACGCCTGGGATCTGAATGAGCAAACCCTGGGCCACCAAAGTGGAGTGCGCAGACTTAACCACTATGCCACCAGGCCAGCCCTCCAGCTATTTTAAGTTATAATTAACTGTCCTTCCCTATCAAATTAACATTTAGAAGTTTCTAGAACTGTTAAAGCTATTTACAAAAAGGGGTGGAAAGTCTTATCAACTGGCACTCTCCTTGATTGATATATTTTAAATTAACTCTCTGAACCCAGTTAAACAATATGAGTAATCTTATTAGAATCTCTTAATGATAGTGCCCCAATCGGGATGAGCTATTTGCCTGTTCTCACAGTTCTAAACTTGGACAGAAGTAAAGTATATGTGACTAAATCATATATTCATTTTTTATTGCTTCTCTTTCCTCTTATCTTTTCAATCAGATATAAATTTGTGGACAAAGGGGAAGCAATATGTGAACCACAGTGTAGCAGAGGCAGACCAAGCATTACAGATTGCTAAAGAGCTATTCTTGTAGAGCCCGACTGCACCAGTTACTTGTCCTTGTGCCAAAGGCAAATATTATGTTTGCACCTTTTTTTTCTGATTCTCAGGTTGATTAATACTGCTAATGCAAATGCTCAAGTAGATGTTCTTTAAAACTTTACAAAGTAGATTCAACTGATACTTTCTTTTCAAAGTGAAGAGTTGATTACACATAGTAAATTCATGAACTACAGTAGGTTTGTATCAAACAGTTTTTTTTTTAATGAAAATCTGTTGGTTGACATGTACACAGTATGCTTCTTTGACTATTTTAGTCCTTGGCCTTGGTCTCTGCTAGACCTCATAAGTCTCATAATTTACAAGTGGTAGTGGGTGATTAGTGTGGTCTCCTTGGGGTGGATACATGAAATACCTACAGTCTATCTGATACCAAGGCCTCGCTTACTTGCTTTTTAATACACTGAATTTTAAATGATTTAGACACTGATGTAGACACTTTGGCTTATAATGTTGGGTAAATTCTAAGGAAACAACTTTAACATTGTTTAAAACATTTACATTCTTATGTTTATTATATCACAGCCCAGTGACTTTCCTCTTTTGAGATTATAACTCAGAGGAAACATTTAGGATTCAGTAGGGGACCCAATGGGATAGAAATGGGAAGATCCCTTTGTGTTGAAAAAGAGACATTTTCCCAAGGAGGACAGGATTAGGCTTGCTTTCCATTTTCCATCATCTCCTCCCTCTACTGTTAAGATGGAAGTCACTCCACACAGCTGATGCTCATATGAGAATTAGGAGAATAAAGCTCCCAAGGCATGTGAAAGAGCCTGATACATACGTGGCACACAGCACTCAGTAAAACTTTGGCTTTATAATAGGATGGTCCAGTTCCTGTTTAAGGAAGGAAAGTTGAAAAATTATTTTCCTATTATTAATCAGGTGTCCTCTGTGCTTCTTTAGCATGTAAAGTAGTCATAACTCTAAACCTGTAATACTTGAACACCACTAAGGGAAGTAAAATATGAAGCTAGCAAAAATCTGAGGCCAAAGTTATTTTGTCCTAACAGCTTTAATAATGCTTGTTGATTTTGAGTAATCTTTTAAAAAGTGGACCATTTACTTAATTATTTTAATATTATCACTTCCGCAAAATGTTGGTGTTAAAAAGATCAGCTTTTATAGCATTGAAGAATGTATCTGCTAAGACACAAGAGTCGCTTGGTATATATATTAGGTGGAGGAGGAAAGGTTGGAGGCTGGATGAAAATTTAACCGACAGAATACTTAGTTCAGAAGCGATTCAGAAGTATCTATCAGAAAATAGTGTAATTCTTCCACTCACCTGCCCCTTCCCTGTGTGTATTTGGGCACAGTTAAGACATTATTTGGAATTGTAGATAGATGCACCTTTTGTTCCTACCTTGTTTATTGTTTAACAGTGTTAGAGTGTGGTCCTCTTGCTGGTGGAAAATACTAAGATGGGGCCCACTCTTCTACTCCGCTGTTCATCAGGCAGAGCAGTTTTCTTACTATTCGGCTACTCTGCTTGCTTTATTTTAGATTTTGGTACTTCACATAAGCATTGCTAGAAGGTACACATGTATTAATATCACTAGTTCTGAGGAGTTTGGGTACATTTGTTATATGTAGAATGTGCAGTCAACTTTTTCTTTTCAGCAAAATTACTCGTCATTTTTAGGTCCAATATTGAGCTGACAGATCTACTGTGAGAATGAGATGACATATCTACTGTGAGAATAACATAAATGATAGTTTATTTGAAAACTTTTATACATAGTGGTGTTTATATATTAAGATAAATATATAAACACATACATGCATGCACACGTCACATCTCATTACTGCAGAGTTAATGTGAATTTTTAAATTTTAAAAGGAATTGCAACCACAATCATTACTAAAAGAACATTCACTTCTAGTGAGGGTTTGCAAAAGCCACTAAAAGAATTAGATGAAAATGCAAAGGGTCATCATTTGGGGTTACTTTTATTTAAAAATATGTTGTGCTACTTTTGAAAGAGAATTGTTATTACTACGCTCTTTGCGATTGAAAAGTCGTCTACTAGTAACCAGTATAGTAATAGTAAGCTACTTTTTAATTGCTGACAAACAGCTTTAAGTGCACTTTCTTTGATTACACTTCCATTTTTTGTTAAACTTGAATTTTCTGAAGCCTTTTATGTACCACTAAGCAAATAACTTTAACTTTTAATAAACCTGATTTACATCTTTATTATATTTCTAATTGTTATAAAACATACTTTCTAAATAACTTCAATCCTCAGATCTAGCTGGGAAACTGTCATGAGGAAGAATCAGTTGCTTTTTCCTTCTTTGATCTAATTAAGCACTAACTGATTTAGCTACTTTATTGCCTTTACATTGCTTATTCTTATTGACTGAATTCTGTCCTTCATTTACTTTGTTTTGTTTGAAATTTAAAGTTATTTTCTTACTGTATTTATCATACCTACTGTTTTAATAATCTGCTTTCTTTAAATGCAATAAATCCCAAATGGATTGCATATTCTTTATAATCAGTGACTTCAGAGTTTTTAATTATTTGTCTTATTAAAAGTTTTGGATGTAAACTTCTATTCAGTTCTTTTGTTCACACCACAGACTTTAAGCACCTATTATGCACCAGCCATTGGAACAGAAGCATGAATAAGACTAGATCTCACTTCTGCAGGAGCTCACGGTTTGGGAGGTAAATGCGCACACCCATTTTGCCCTAGCATTTTTGCAGCACCATCACTTAATAGCACAGTTTGTCCAGGCGCTACAATTCCTGAGACTCACACTGACGAAGGCAAGGCAAAAACATAAGACTTTGAAGTACTTTCTGAATGTTTGGCATAGTTTTTGCATTATGTATAATTTATTTTTTAAACTCCTTAAAAACCGGTAACATAGAACTGTTAAAAAACAGTTGCGTAAATATTGTAACCCTTGATTATGTCAGAAAAGCAGCTTTAGCATGTTAAAGAGAAAACCCATTTATGGGATTGACAGAGAAGTTTGGCATCAAGATCGCAATGTTATCTTATGAATTATTTGATAAACTGGAGTCTTAGACTGTTGGCTGGTAGAGAGATTCATCTTACTAGTTATGAATGAACTTTTTTTGGAACTAGTAACATTTATCTAAAGTTATGTGGAAAATTAAGGGTTTTGTGTCCTTTTACTAAATAGTACAGAGGAACAAAATAGCGCAAATGGTTAGAAAAGTTACATAAAAAAAGTGTGGAATGTACCACTGTTCAAATTCAATTAGAGTTACCTTCTTTAGAGAAGACTGGATGCCGCAATTAGAGCTACTTAATGAAGAGCAAATCCCTCTTTAAGGAAGTCCAGCTCCGGCATCACATGTCAGAGGTATTTCATATTCTCACACTGAAGGCATGAGCTTCTGAAATATTATTTGTTGCATATTTAAAAAGAGATAGTTCACTTTTGCTTCAGATGGTTGGAACTACTGAAATCACGTTTGCTCTGTAGTGTTTTTCGTCCCGGATTTATAGAGCAGGACTAGAACCATGGCGGCTGCCATTCCTGCCCTCCGGGGATGGAAGCTTCACTTTTCACAAGAGAGAGACCCCTGCCGCCATTACCTCTCCCTTCTGAAAACCTTTTCTCAAGGTGGTTTCAGTTTTGGATCATTACCTTGCTACCCTCCTCAGGAACTATGACACAGAATTTCGGGGGACATACGTACTCAATAGCATCTGTACCTCTTTTCAGTATAAACAGTTATGGGGACAATGCATGTAAAAGACACGTCCGCCCCTCCGCCAACAGCTCAGCTGATTCTTCACCTCACACCTCGGCAGGGGTGGAGTTACTGGGATTGACAGTTTGGGAGGCTATGGACCTACTCAGCTCAGCAACCAGCCGCAATCCAGAAGTGCAGGCTTTGCCCCTTGACATTTAACACAGGGCAAAGGATTACGCCAGTCAATCGCAATCTTCAGCCCGCTTACTTTGTCCAGGTGGGATGCCATAAGATGTGACAGATAGTCCCTGAATCTTCATTCCTGATTCTAAAACATGATGTTGAAGCTGTTATGTTTTATGAAGAATGACAAGCAGCACTTAATGTGATGTAGTAAACCCAGTTTATTTACAGAATACATATTCTGCCATGCAGCTTACTGAATTGCACTCCCTGTAATAACAAAAAAGACAAGCACTATCTTGCTATCTGAAAATGGCTTTAAATAGAAAGATCACTGTCTCTTCAATGAGTTAACTACAACCTTATAAGTCACTATAAACAATTTAAAACAGCCATGGATAATTTTAAAATGCACTTGTAAAGTCTGTAGGTAAAGAGCTTTTATAGTTTACACATTGGTAAAATTAAAACCAGTCTTGTTAGTACTGTAGCTGAATAGTGTACTTTTAATCTTATTTTAATAAACCTATAAAACAAAAATAACAAGTATACATTATTACAAGGCTCAGATTTGTAGGCAATTTTTAAATAGTTATTCTTTAATGTTAACAATGTCTTAAAAATTTTGCCAGTAGTGATGTGCACACAGTAGGTGGTCAATAAATGCTGATATACAGAAGTATTTATAGTTGACAGCAATCCACATTCATTCATCCTCTACTTTATAATAAATACATCATAGTAAAGAAAAAAATGAGAGGACAGCTTTCTTAAAATACTTAACATTTTCATAAAAAGATGAGATGTTTACATGGTTTAATTCTCCCTACAGTCAGACCTGTATGCCTTTTAAATTAAAAAAAATATTAAACACAGTATGCTCTTTTTATCTATTAATTCAGATGGCAAGTATTAAATCATACACTGTAACAAAAACCAGGAATATTTTTAAAAATTAGAAATGAAACTTAAGGTTCATTATGTGTTTATTTTGAGAAGATTTCATAATAAAAATGGTGCCAGACCTAAAATAACTAAGACTTCTTCACTTTTAAATTAATTATAACTATTAGGTGTATTCTGTTTGGCCAAAATGACAAAACGTCTATTTAAAAGCAATATCATCATGTAAGTCAATAAGCAATATTTTAAAGAAAAATATCCTATTATCATTACACCACACTAAGCATATGGATCAAATTTGTGGTCTTATGAGGTAAAATAACCATTTTCAAAGTAGTATTCCATCATGATAATGGGTACAATTCAGTGTGCCCTTAACCTACTGGGGAAAATCCTCCTTACTGAGATACTAGCATGGGAAATTTATATTCCAAAAACACTACACTGAAAAGAAATAAAAATTTTGCAGATGCATAAACTGAGGCACATTAAAGTAATATTTCTAATACCAGATGTACAAATGGCATTTTGGGAATAAGCTTCACCATCAATCAACACTTCTGATATTTATTAATTCCAATGATCTGAAGATATACCAGTATTTAAAGCAGCTCATATCAACCCGTTAAGAAATTTGGATACTATTTTATATTCCAATAAACAACATATGTTTTTATGAATGATTGCTTTAAGGGATTTAATTTATGCAAAAGACCAAAGAACAAGAGTGTTTATGTTGTATGATAGGGCAGTGAGATCTATTTTTTAAGTATATACAATAAAGAGCAAATATAATGTTTCAGGCCCTAATATCAGAGAGTGTATATCAATACTTTGGGTTATCAATACAACGCTAACATGTGCATAAACAGAGACTCCAGCACAGGTACATCATCAAATGGGGCATCTGCGTGACTTCGTTCTAAGGCTTAAGGCTCATTCCAGGGTCAAGACTGGGCCATCCTGATTCTACGGCCTTGAAAGTAGCACCCATATAGCTGGGAACTCCTATCATCAGGAAATTTAGGACTGCAAATTCAGAGAGGCAAAAGCTCTTCTGCTACAGGAATTTTGGAACCAAAAACCTGCAATCCACTGGCAAGAGTTCAATTATTATATGGAATTAAATAACATTATTTGAAATTAAAAAGCTTAAATGGCTAATAACTTGGTTATTAGACCACAGAATTTGTCACCTGATCATGTAATCAGTTTTAAAGTGATTCTTATCTGATGGGAAATGACAACACAAGTTCTTTTCTTCTTCTCGATGCCTCTCTCAACTTAAAGGAGAAACGGCTTAAAGTTTTTGTTCTAGCAAACTAAAAAATCCAATGTTCCTAGGGACAAGAGAACCTACAGCTAAAGGAAATAATATCTTAAGTGCCAGTTTCTCAAAAAACAAGTATTCAAAGGCTAGTGATTATTCAAATCACTATCTGGGCTTGTGTTAAGCATAGGCTATCACAACCCTTGCCTTTATCAGGCACTTAAACTTGATCATCTAATGTAAATATCTTCTATTAGAGTAATCACAAGATGACTCCATTTTGTAACGGAGCTGAGCCCTTCCTAAGGAAATTAAGCTGGTGTTAAGTAAAACGAATACTACTTCTACACTGGTTTCACATTCATTGTTATTCAGATGTTTCTTACGAATGCCAACTAATTTTCACTCTCTGTACAAGCAGCAAATTAGTAGTTTTAAGGGCCAGTAAAGCAGTTACTATTACAGATCCCCAAGTATATTTTTCCATTTTTATAAAGTATTACTCATGATATATTAAACAAAAGGAAAAAGGAAAAAACGAATGGGAATCTTAGAAATAGTGGGGTATACAACTCCCCATTATATATTGCTTAACAACTGAATACACCAGGTGGCCATACCTGAATTCACAAATGTGAAACATAGTCAGGACAAGGCTTGCTATGTCTGTACTGCATGACATATACTGTTGACTGATGCCACCAGTATAACATTACTACTGCAAGGATATGCCATATTTGGTGGCTTGATCCGAGGTAGTTTAGTTGTCCTAGAAGGGAAGGTAGAAAGAAAAGAATATTGATTGTGATATTTTGATATTAATATAAAAATATATTTCCATCTCTGGCCTTGTAAATATGGCTTAGCAGCAAAAAGATTTTGGCAATCTCAGAGCACCTTGAGATGGACTGGAGATTAATTTAGACCCAAATGTTTTTAAAAAAGGATGAATTCATATTTGAGTCTAATTTTAAGATTTTATTCGTTAAGTACACTGGTGAATTTCAGAAATACTATTCCAAGTGTGTTTTCAAAATCTAACTTAGTTAATTTCGGGAATTTGACCTTTTGTCTCCATGTCTCAACTTATATATCTGCTAAGAAAAGACATTACATGAAAGAAGCAAAAGAAATGAGGGCTACAAATCATGGAGTGAGTTAGGTATGACGGGGATACACCGTTGTATTTGGATACATGCCTGCCAGAAGCACTTTTTATTTCAAGCAGGTGTGTAAGGAGACAGTTCAGACCTGAATCTTGTGCTATCAGACTAATGGAATAATCTTAAAAATGTAATTACTAATGGATTAATTAACTAAGGTTGATTAGTTCATACACAACTAAGAGAACTATTTAATTTCTCTTTGTGGTAAAGGTTAAATTCCAAGGAGATTAAGTAATTCACATGTGGGAAGCTTCTTGAAAAATAAGTAAATAACAAAATACACAGCCATAGAAATTTAAATGTAAATATCTTTTTCTTACTAACTGTGCTTCTATAGTCCTGTGATGTAAATATTCTCTAATCTTCTGTCTTTTCTTACCAAGAATAATAATTGGTACGGTCTGTAGATTTTAAAGTATAAGTCAACAGAATCCTTTCTGTAGGGGTTCTTAGCCTTTTTTGGTGCCAGGGAATCCTTTGACTGTCTAGGGAAGCCCACAGACTCATTTTGAAAAGCACGAAATACAGAGGATTACAAGAAAATTGCTTATATTCTAATAGAAGTATCACAGATCCACTTAATTGTGTCCACGGATGCCTTGGGAAATCTTGGACCCATCAAATACCACTGTGATGTTCATGTATTTTTAAAAATTTAATCTAAGCCAAAAGTAAGTGCTTAGGTTTAAGTTTTTTGATTTCACAGTATTCACCCACCATCTCACCACCACTGCATGTGTTTCTCTTTACAGCCAGGTCATCAATGAGGACTGGCCAGGCAAGGTTTCTAAGCCATGCACTCATGAATATCACTTTTATCTGTAAAGACTTTCCATTTTTTACGGTCTCCATAGCTCCACTGCTCAAATTCATCAGTACTCCACTACACATGCAGCTACATGGGGCACATTTTATGTCAAGTTCATCCTGGAGAAAAGTTGAGTTATGTCACATTTGACCTTTTATAGGTGTCTTATATTAACAGTTGTGAACTTCTGATCTCTGATCAATATTTTAAGGCCTAAAAACACCATTGCCATAATCACATAGTGCAGGAGAAGTTTCATGGTTCATTTTCTAAATGTATCGTGATGAAGGAGAAATCAATAATAAAAGAATTATTAATAAAGTGATACAAAATCTATTTTACCAGAACTGTTTTCTGAGGAAAATTCTGGCCCTGCCTGGAGGATGGGGTGGTCTTCAAGTCAGGGACATATCCTAGTTAAGTTCCCAAATCCGAACGTTTACACTCAGGTTCTTCTTTGTATTCCATTCTTATTTAAAATTTAGTGGTGTCAAACCAAGTGCACAGAGGGAATGCCTGAAGTTCTGTGGTCTATTCATTCTCCAGATCAGGGTTTCTCATCCTTTCTTCCTCCCCAACACACGTGACGAGTGGCACAATTCTGCCTTTGAGTCACTGTGGAAGAGATTCTGAACCCAGAAGAAAGGGGGGACAAGCTTGCAGTTTGAGTTTAAACTACGCCCCTACCTCTAGACCTCAGAATCAAAAAGTCGCTGCTTTATGTACTCTGCTATTCTTTACTCAAGCCACAGCTCCCCTGGACTGGCATCATCCAGTCCCCTACTAAACTACGTTTCATTTCTGGGACTGGGGTTGAGGGATGTCATCAAAATAATAATTGCTAACATTTACTAAGTGCTTACTACTTGTGAGGAACTGTGCTCTATGTTTCATGTGCTTTCTCTCATCTTATCCTCACAATAATCCCATGAGAGAAAGTATTATCTCCATGTTTCAGATAAGGAAACTAGAGCTGAGAAAGCTTACGTAACATTAGCTCTTGCAGCTAGGCAGTGGCCAACGTGAGATTTGAACCCAAGTAGTCATGAGTCCAGAGATTCCTAAACAAGCATATACATGTTTTGGAGAACACTGTTCACTTTACCAGTGTCCTCTTATCTTCCATCATAAAATTTATCTCTGCACTGAAGAAGCAGGGAAATCTGTCCTCGAGTTACTAGCTTGTGTATATCTTGGGGACATAAAGACCCTTAACTTATATTACTTTCCTCTTAGTCTGAGTGCCAGGAAATTGGAAGCCAGATTGGTGGCCTTTATCTATTTCATAGAACCTTATGATGGATATTTTGTGAAGTGATCCTAAACCTGGCTTCTTTTCATTATCTTCTTATTTTCCTATGTCTCTTGTCTTATTTCTTGTTTCATGGATCTCTTCATATATAAATTAATTTTTAAGAATACTTTGGTATATAAAAAAGTAAATGGTAATTGATGATTAGTGCTCCAGAAAAAAGCAGTGGCTGGGAGTCTTCTGATTGTCACTAGTTAATAATCATGAAATGGTGGAAATCCCATCTACTGGACTCAACTCATATGGAGAGGATGAAAGGATAAGTTTGTGAAAGGCTTTTGAAAGTTACAGTTTTAGATATTCAAGAATAGGAGAGCTGTTCTATAATCAATAATATTGAAAAAATCAATCTAAGTTTTGATGCTCTGAAGCATGTATCTCTACCATATATTTAGAATAAAGTTACAAAATCACTACAAAAGCAATACCTACCTGGAAAGTACCGTTCTGGAACTTTGGAAATGTAGAATAGGAAAGCAAGAAGAGCAATCACATACATCACAATTACACGGGGTGCAAAGTCCTGAAAAGCAAAACGTATTTTTTTCACAGATCTTCCTATAGTGACTAAATTCCCAATTAATTATGAATTTATTTATAGATTAGGTTGAATTCATAGGTGGAATTTAAGCCTACTAAATCTCAATTGCTTTTGTAGACAGTCTCCAGTAACAGAAACCCTGCTCTCAACACTGCAGGAAGCAGTCCATGAGAGTGGAGCACAGAGTGCCGTAATGTTTAGGGTATAAGGGAGTCAGAGCTTGAACATGGCTGAAGGTCCCAAACTGCATCCAGCTCCATCTACAATATAGGTGCACGGGTGGAGTACGTATGGGAATGCAGTTAACAGGTGAATAATAGAGACTAAAGACCAGAGACTTTCGGCTGGAAAAGACCCAAGAGGTTTGGCCCAACAAGAAAATCTCTTCCACCATCCCCAATAAATGGTCCTCTTGAATACTACTATATGAAGCAGCCCACCTCACAGCTCTGTTGGAAAGCTTTTCCTTGCCCTAAAAAATCAGCCAGCTATAATTTATACATATTGTTCCTAATTCTCGTTATAAACCTAACTTACCAAGACACCATTTAAAAAATAAAGACAAATTACTTTTCTTGCCTTGACAAATATCCGAGAATTATCACAGCCCTCCCTAAATCCTATATTTTCAGGCTAATCAACCTCAGATTTCTCAAACGTTCCAGAACACAACTCTACCCTACCTGCCAGGATTAGCCCATCTGGGACTTTTCACCTTTGGTTAAGTTCCTCACTCTCCATCTTTTTAAAATTAGAGCTTATTGGGGAATTTCTCTGGAAGTCTCCCTCTACTTCTTCACTGCAACGATCTGTGACATCAGCTCTCTGGCCTTGAAGACCATTGTCTTCCTAAGCCGTATTTCTAGTCTAAGATTTCTAAACACAGGGGAGTTGCCATTTTTTTCTGAATTTCTCTAAAATGCACTGGCTTAAGGCGTCTGGTTCTCTTTCTTTGTTATTATAAACTTAAAAGGGATGTATTTACCTCATCCCAAAATTTTGGTCACTTTTCTGTCAATAACCAGTTATTCATTTCTGGTTAGAGTGAAATCTAGAGTAGCAGTTCCTCATTCTATTTTCTTTACTTATTTTCAGGGAATCAAAAATGTCAGAAAAATGACGTTTTCACAGATACAAGGATCACTCAAGTTCACTGCTACTGTCTCACCTTTCTCTCAATTTCCTCATCTTATGAAGACAGCATCACCCTTGTCCTCAAGTTAGCAAAGTGGCCAGATCATCATCACTCAATTCACTATATCACAGAATGTCCTTTTTAGTTTTATACCCTTTTATACCCAAATGCTTTCCACCACACTGCTGCCAATTTCATAAAAGTATATATGTAAGCTAACTATTAGTTCCCCTCTTTTAAAACAATATGATTCTCTTGACTAAAACTTGCATTTAAGTTCTCATATTCCAGATAAGGTCCCATTGCAACAAGTGTTTGTGATTTCTTGGTATATTTACTTATGTTAAAAATTCTCAAGTTTACTCTCTAGTGCATGCTTAAAGCATTTTATATGGATCTCTAAGAACCTAAGTCTTATTTGGAATCCCCTTCTCAAGAACGCCAAGGAGTTCTCACTGAGGTTCTTCCTGATGCACTCCAACTGCTCCCCCAGAACACCTAACCTGACAGCTCTTCTATTTCTTGATATATTTTCCTTGGTGGGTGGAATATGCTCCCATGGCTCCAGCTACCAATGCAATAATGATTTTCAGTCTTTATCACTAGTCTCAAGCTCTGACCTAAAGTCCATACCCTATTTCCACTTCTACATTCCACAGGCACCTCAAACCCAACAGGTCCAAGAAAAAATCCTTCCCAACTCCTCCTCCTCCAATCAAGAAAATAAATCAACTGCTCTGACTTCCGTTTTTGTGTTATCACTGGCATTATCCCTGCCCCAGCTGACAAAGCTGGAAGCTTGCGAGTTGTCCTCCACAGATAAGCACTTGGGTATTTACACACTAATGGTACCAGAAAGAGAACTAAGAATGTATCATTTCACAGAGACATATCTCAGAAAAAACAGTAGTCAGACTTCTATTTCTGCAAGGAATGCTCATTTATATAGATGTGAAAATTATGGCATCAATATGCTCTCAAGTAACAAAGACCCACTCACTTGGCTTGATTACACTACTTTACGCAAAAGGAATAAAACTGAAAAAGAACAAAAGAATGGGAAAAACATTGACTACACTCAACCCACCTGCACAATAGGAGCCCCGATCCCTCCATTGAGCCAAACCCAGTGAAGAGTAGGGATCACTCCATAGCCCGAAACAGAACAGAAGATGACGGAACGGAGCCTCTGCCACTGCTGTGTGAGGTAATTGGGATGAATCTGCGCAAAGAACACTGCCAGGATCATAGCAAGCACTGTGATCAGGTACACTTGGCGCCAATACTAGAACAAAAGGAAATCAGATTCTATTAACGATAAGGAAAGAAAAAGAGTAATTTTGGCCAGGACGTTATACATTCCAAACTCTATGTACTTGGTATTTTCATTTCCAAACATGATTACCTTCCTTCCTTAAAACAATGCATGTCCCATACAACTGTCAGGTTTCCTAGGATGACAAACCCAATTCCAAGGTGGGCTGGCAGAGGACACACTTATTCATGCAAAAGCATTTTCTGAGTACCTATCCTATGCCAGGGACAATTTAAGTCCTGTAGAAACAAAGATGACTATGACATGGCCTCTCCCAGTGGGTGAGCTCATAGACTATCGGGGGGCAGACATGTAAACAAATGATTATAATCTAACAGTACTGTAACTGAGTTATAAACAGAATGTTATAGAACCACAGAAGAGGGAGCAATTAATGTTACCTGGAGAAGCTAAAAAAATGCTTTACAGAGGAGATGGCAGCTAAGCTGGGTCCTAAGGAATACATAAGATTTTGTGGGAGATGGAGCTCTCAAGGAAAAGAAACAGCACATGCAGCAGGAAAGCTCTGAGAACAGAGGCTGAAAGGCAGGTATATTGTCAAGCTAAGTATTTGGACCTTTGCCATGTTGGCAATGGGGGAATAGCAGAGTTCTTCTTCTGCTTTTTTTTGCTGAGAGATTTGCCTTGAGCTAACGTCCATGCCAATCTTCTGCTATTTTTTAGTATGTGGGCTGCGAGAACAGCATGGCCACTAACAGAGTGGTATAGGTCTGCATCTGTGAACCAAACCCAGGCCACCAAAGTGGAACACGCTGAATTTAACCACTAGGCCACTGGGGCTGGCCCAATAACAAGGTTCTTTAAGAATGAGATGACATGGTTGTTTTTCAAATTGACTTATTAGAAATATAATTCTGAGATCAGTGTAAAAAAAGAGGTGACAGGAAGCCAGCTAGAAGATATTAGAATAATTGATTCAAAGAGAGAATGGGGAGCTTGGACTCTTGTTGAACAAGGAAGGCAGATGTAAACACCAGATTCAGGAGACATTTTTGCAATAAACTAAAGTCTTAATCGTTGACCAGGTATGTCAGAGGGCAGTAGAGGATGTCTTAACTGGTTCTAGGACGAGAGGCTTCGACTAATGCAGCGAATGAACAAAGATGATCCAGATGTGCCGTCTGGGTTGGGGAGAGAGAATGCGGAAGCGTGAAAGAAGGTTCATTTTAAAATGTATTAAGTTTGAAGGGCTTAGAGAATATTTAGGTACCTAAATGGGCAGTTGAAGAGCTGGTCTTCAAGCTCAAAAGTTAGTATCACACGGGACAGAGTTCTTAACCTGGTCTCCAAGGACTTCTGTGGGGCTATTAGCTTCTTGAAATCACACGTCAAAGTGTTTGGTTAGTTTGTGCCCAAATGAGTACATCCTCCTGGATGAGGGTCCACAGGTTTCGAACTCATCCTCAAAGGAGCCTGTGCTCCTTAAAAGGCAAAGAGCCACCACAGCAACTGAATATTTAGAAATTATTAAATACCAGAGGGAAGACAATTTTTCCTTTAATTGCTCCTGGACTGTATTACTCCAGTAGCTCTCTTTCCTTTCTAATCTACCTTAGACTTCTAGCGTAAGTGTCTCACTAGCCTTTTTGATTATCAGATATGTTTAGGAAGGGGTAAACAGAAAACAGGCTTCAGAGAAATATAGAATAAGATCAGCAAAATAATTCAAGTATTACATGACTGCACTCACAAGCTCCTAGTTATCGCATGTTCCCTGTAAGTTTTTTAAAGATGTAAACAGTTTTATACAAAATGAACAAGTTGTGAAAGTTCAGCAGACATGAGTAGAGTTTACAACTGAAATCCAATCAATCTAAAACAAGGTTAATTGCATATGTATTTAATTATATGCTTATGTTTCAAAGTAATTAGGCCTAAAAAGCAAATGGGTCATGTGTAAGAGGCTACAATTAATAATGCTCTTACATTCAAAACAAATTTATGATTTTTCTCTTTGTTAGTTTTACACTCCAGCTATGTTGACAGTTTTCTCTGTTACTGTGTAGAGACAAAGGTCCTACTTAAGAATTCCCAATAGTTAGAGGATACTGCATGGCAGGAAACAAAGGCTGTGGATGATGGCTTGGAGCACTGCTACATGGAGAGGGCTCAGGGAGGACAGGCTCTATTCCTTTCGAAGAGGACTACAAGTAACTAGTAGGTATACTAGTAGTCCCTGAGAGAGCAGCTCACTCTTGGCTCTGAAAGGGAAGGAACTAAAAGGACAAAAGAAAACAAAAAGCGTACGGCAGGAGAGCAGGAGGAAAAGAGCAGGGTTGATGGAGACTTTCTGAATGGGAGGGCCTGAGGTGTACTGAGCCCACGGGAAGACTCAGTGTGCCTTCTTGGCTGGGACATGAGGTGATGAGGTAGGTGGTTATATTCCACAGCTTGGCTGGCCAACATTTTTAGGTCAGGTACTTTATAATCTGATCATAGTGTTTCAAATGCTGCTTTGCACAAGGCAAAAACTGACTTTTGTGACAGGGTCAGAAAGCAGAGTTGATCTAGAACTCAGAACAGACACATATTTATTAAAGATACTACCCATCTGGTCTGTCTCTAGGCCTACCTCCAACTATAAGACTAAGGAAAGGAAAACATATTTCTTACAGAAGAATACAGGTCAACACACTCACAGATATACCTTCCTTTATTTTATTTGACTGAGAGTGGAATAAAAGAAGGAAAATGGAAAGCAGCAGCCAGCAATGTAATTTTATTAAGCACTACCTTTGTTTAACTTCAACTCTACAAACACAAAAATAAAAGATATGTAATGCGCGTCTGAGGAACCATGTAGCTATATGAATTTAGTGGAAATATTAAAATTTAATGTTTACATTAAGTTACAGAAAATAACTTTATACATATTCCAATGGAAAATTAGTAAAATGGGGCTGGTCCCGTGGCCAAGTGGTTAAGTTCGCATGCTCCGCTTTGGCGGGTCACGGTTTCACTGGTTTGGATCCTGGGCGTGGACATGGCACCACTCATCAAGCCATGCTGAGGCGGCGTCCTACATGCCACAACTAGAAGGACCCATAACTAAAATACACAACTATGTACTGGGGGGATCCAGAGAGAAAAAGCAGAGGGAAAAAAAAAAAAAAAGACTGGCAACAGTTGTTAGCTCAGGTGCCAATCTTTAAAAAAAAAAAAAAAGAAAATTAGTAAAATGAGTATGGAACTGATAACAGACGTTAGAGATCACAGAGCCTTTTTGAAAAATGAGCTTATGCCTATACAAGACTCTTCTATTTCTTCTATAAGTTAATTATGTGCTTATTCAGAAGTTCAAAGGAACCACAGCAAGAAAACCCAAGACCTACATGAAAGGTAGAATGTAAAATGTTTTAAGTCACTTACATTATTACAATAAAATGCATAAAATACTCCGGAGACATAGCAGCCCAGTATTCCAATAGAAATTCCTGCATAATCTAATGCCATCCATCTTCGACAAGTTTTTTCTGATCGATGGCAGGAGAAAAGATGATAACCCACAGAGCAAAGCATACAGACCTATGGAAAATAAAACAAATCTTAGCAAAAGGAAACAAAAAGAAATGAAAGGCAACTCACGTGTGATGTTCAGGCAAGTGGTTAGGTTGAGCCCAGGCTTTGCAGCCATACAGTCCTGGGCTTGAGTTCTAGCTTTGTGCCTTAAGAGTCAGACAAGCTATGCCATTTCTCTAAGCCTCAGTTTCCTCAGGAGTGAAATGGGGATACAATTGTAAAAAAAACAAATTTAAAATGATAGGTATTTTCTAACAAAAATTTTAAATGAATAGCACAGTAGTGGGAAGATTACACAATATAAATGTTTTTAAAATATCAACTGAAGCTTGTTTTGATCCATGAATAACCTTCCTTTTTAAAAAGTACTTACTACAGAAGTAATATATGTCCTTAAAAAAAAATCAAAGAACACAGAATTGTATGATGTAAAAAAATAAGCCCCTCCTACTCAATCTATTCCCCAGCACTAGCCGCTAATGACATTTGTTATGTGTCCTCCCAGATACTTTCAACAAACATACCAAACACCTATGATACAGAAGTCTACACACATACACACACACAAACACACTATAGATACTTTTTAAAATGAATCAAATGGAATCACATTTTATATTCTGTTTTGTAATTTGCTTTTTTCACTTAAAGACTTTTCATGTCTGTAGGAGACATCATTGTATAGAGTTTACTTTTAAGTTATAAATTAAATATGACTTTGTTGTGCCAAGAAAAAATAATAATGACTTATGCTGATTTTATATGTTGCCAAATCGAGAGCAAAGCTAATCTGACTCATCAGCTCCTCTGAAGATTGATAAGGTTTCTATGGCTGAACTCCCCTCCAGCCATTAAATAAATGTCTGCCATGTATCATGTACTGGGGATACAAAGATGAAACTTTTACTCTCAAAGAGATTTTCCTGAGACAAGTAAACAAATGGTGATGTAGGAAGTCCAGTAAGAACAATCAGCACAGAGCACAATTAGAAAATAGAGGAGGGAGGGTCCTGGGTCTGTGGGTGTATGTGTACATTTTGGGGGTGGGAACGGTGGGAGGAAAGGAGCTCCATAGAAAAGTTGCCACCTGAGCTGGATCTTAAAAGGTTGATCTGGCATTTATCAAGGACACAAATAAAGCTGTGCCCATGTTTACTGGAGGTCGACAGGAAAAGTAGCATATTGAGAAACAGAACCATCAAGGAATGTCAAGCAGCCTTCTTCATGATACAACTATGACAAGTCCTACACATCAAGGAGTTTTTTTTTTTTTTCATTTTTTTTAATTGAGTTAATGATAGGTTACAATCTTGTGAAATTTCAGTTGTACATTAATGTTTGTCAGTCATGTTGTAGGTGCACCACTTCACCCTTTGTGCCCACTCCCCACCCCACCTTTACCCTGGTATCCACTAAACTGTTCTTAGTCCATAATTTTAGATTCCTTATATGAGTGGAGTCATACACAGATTATCCTTCTCTTGCTGGCTTATTTCACTTAACATAATTCCCTCAAAGTCCATCCATGTTATTGCAAATGGAATGATTTTGTTCTGTTTTACAGCTGAGTAGTATTCCATTGTATATATGTACCACATCTTCTTTATCCATTCGTCTGTTGCTGGGCACTTAGGTTGCTTCCATGTCTTGGCTATTGTAAACAGTGCTGCAATAAACATTGGGGTGCATAGGACTTTTGAGATTGCTGACTTCAAGCTCTTTGGATAAATACCCAGTAGTGGGATGGCTGGATCGCATGGTAGTTCTATTTTTAATTTTTTGAGGAATCTCCATACTGTTTTCCATAGTGGCTGCACCAGTCTGCATTCCCACCAGCAGTGTATGAGGGTTCCTTTTTCTCCGCAACCTCTCCAACATTTGTTACTATTAGTTTTAGATATTTTTGTCATTCTAACGGGTGTAAGGTGATGTCTTAGTGTAGTTTTGATTTGCATTTCCCTGATGATCAGCGATGATGAGCATCTTTTCATGTGCCTATTGGCCATCAGTATATCTTCTTTGGAGAAATGTCTGTTCATGTCTCCAGCCCATTTTTTGATTGGGTTGTTTGATGTTTTGTTGTTGAGTTGCAAGAGTTCTTTATATATTATGGATATTAAGCCTTTGTCAGATATATGACTTGCAAATATTTTTTCCCAGTTAGTGGGTTGTTTTTTTGTTTCAATCCTGTTTTCATTTGCCTTGAAGAAGCTCTTTAGTCTGATGAAGTCCCATTTGTTTATTCTTTCTATTGTTTCCCTTCTCTGAGAAGGCATGGTGTCCGAAGAGATCCTTTTAATACTGATGTCAAAGAGTGTACTGCCTACGTTTTCTTCCAGAAGCCTTATGGTTTCAGGTCTTACCTTTAGGTCTTTGATCCATTTTGAGTTTATTTTGGTGAATGGTGAAAAAGAATGGTCAAGTTTCATTCTTTTACATGTGGCTTTCCAGTTTTCCCAGCACCATTTGTTGAAAAGACTTTCTTTTCTCCATTGTATGCCCTCAGCTCCTTTGTCAAAGATAAGCTGTCCAAAGATGTGTGGTTTTATTTCTGGGCTTTCAATTCTGTTCCATTGATCTGTGCACCTGTTTTTGTACCAGTACCATGCTGTTTTGATTACTGTAGCTTTGTAGTATGTTTTGAAGTCAGGGATTGTGATGCCTCCCATTTTGTTCTTTTTTCTCAGGATTGCTTTAGAAATTCAGGGTCTTTTGTTGCCCCATATGAATTTTAGGATTCTTTGTTCTAATTCTGTAAAGAATGTCATTGGGATTCTGATTGGGATAGCGTTGAATTTGTAGATTGCTTTAGGTAGAATGGACATTTTAACTATGTTTATTCTTCCAATCCATGTACATGGAATGTCTTTCCATCTCCTTATGTCGTCATCCAATTCTCTCAGAAAGGCCTTGTAATTTTCATTATATAGGTCCTTCACTTCCTTAGTTAAATTTACCCCAAGGTATTTTATTCTTTTTGTTGCGATTGTGAATGGTATTGTATTCTTGAGTTCTTTTTCTCTTGGTTCATTACTGGAGTATAGAAATGCTACTGATTTATGCAAATTGATTTTATACCCTGCCACTTTGCTGTAGTTGTTGATTACTTCTAACAGTTTTCCAATGGATTCTTTGGGGTTTTCTATATATAAGATCATGTCATCTGCAAACAGCGAGAGTTTCACTTCTTCCCTCCCTATTTGGATTCCTTTTATTCCTTTTTCTTGCCTGATTGCTCTGGCCAGGACCTCCAGTACTATGTTAAATAAGAGTGGTGATAGAGGGCATCCTTGTCTCGTTCCTGTTTTCAGGGGGATGGCGTTCAGTTTTTGCCCATTGAGTATGATGTTGGCTATGGGTTTGTCATATATGGCCTTTATTATGTTGAGGTAGTTTCCTTCTATGCCCATTTTGTTCAGAGTTTTTATCATAAATGGCTGTTGGATCTTGTCAAATGCCTTCTCTGCATCTATTGAGATGATCATGTGGTTTTTATTCCTCAGTTTGTTGATGTGGTGTATCACGTTGATTGATTTGCGGATGTTGAACCATCCCTGTGTCCCTGGTATGAATCCCACCTGATCATGATATATGATCCTTTTGATGAATTGCTGAATTCTGGTTGCCAAAATTTTGTTTAGAATTTTTGCATCTATGTTTATCAGTGATATTGGCCTGTAGTTCTCTTTTTTTGTGGTGTCCTTGTCAGGTTTTGGTATCAGCGTGATGTTGGTCTCATAGAATGTGTTAGGAAGTGTTCCATCTTCCCTAATTTTTTGGAATAGCTTGAAAAGGATAGGTATTAAATCCTCTCTGAAAGTTTGGTAGAATTCCCCAGGAAAGCCATCTGGTCCTGGGGTTTTATTCTTTGGGATGTTTTTGATTGCTGTTTCAATCTCTTTCCTTGTGATCGGTCTGTTCAAATTGTCTGCTCTTCTTGAGTGAGCTTTGGGAGATTGTAGGAGTCCAAGAATTTATCCATTTCCTCTAGGTTATCCATTCTGTTGGCATATAGTTTTTTGTAGTATTCTCTTATAATCTGTTGTATTTCTGCAGAGTCTGTTGTTATTTCTCCTCGCTCATTTCTGATTTTGTTTATTTGAGCTTTCTCCCTTTTTTTCTTTGTAAGTCTGGCTAGTGGTTTGTCAATTTTATTTATCTTCTCAAAAACCAGCTCTTTGTCTCATTGATCCTTTCTACTGCCTTTTCGTTTCAATAGTATTTATTTCTGCTCTGATTTTTATTATTTCTCTCCTTCTGCTGACTTTGGGCTTCATTTGTTCTTTTTTCTCTAGTTCAGTTAGGTGTGTTTAAGGTTGCTTATTTGGGATTTTTCTTGTTTGTTAAGATGTGCCTGTATTGCGATGAATTTTCCTCTTAATACAGCTTTTGCTGTATCCCATATGAGTTGGTATGGCATGCTACCATTTTCATTTGTTTCCAAGTATTTTTTATTTCTTCTTTAATTTCTTCAATGATCCCATTGCTTGTTCAGTAGTGTGTTGTTTAGTCTCCACATCTTTGTCCCTTTCTCAGCTTTTTTCTTGTAATTAATTTCTAGTCTTATAGCACTATGATCTGAGAAGATGCTTGTTATTATTTCAATTTTTTTAAATTTGTAGAGGCTTGCCTTGTTTCCCAACATATGGTCTATCCTTGAGAATGTTCCATGTGCACTTGAGAAGAATGTGTATTCAGCTCTTTCAGGGTGAAGTGATCTATATATGTCTATTAAGTCCAATTGTTTTAGTTTTTCATTTAGCTCCACTATTTCCTTGTTGATTTTCTGTCTGGATGATCTGTCAATTGATGTGAGTGGGGTGTTGAGGTCCCCTACTATTATTGTGTTGTTTTTAACATCTTCCTTTAGGTCTGTTAATAGTTGCTTTATGAATCTTGGTGCTCCTGTGTTGGGTGCATAGATATTTATAAGCGTTATTTCTTCTTGATGAAGTGTCCCTTTGATCATTATATATTGTCCCTCTGTGTCTCTCTTTACCTGTCTT